TGTTGTCATTATGGAGAAATTAATTTCCAAATTCTACACATCCATATACAAATAACATTTTGAAATATTATAAACAGAACACCATGAAAAGTTGTAGTTAGTACACTGCATGGAGGTGCCTTGTCAAGTTGGTGAACGATGTTCGAAATCCAGTCCCCGTTCTGATCCCCAAGTCTTGGGCCACAGCAGAAGGAGGAAGAGAAACTATTCATAAATTCCTTGAAATAGACACTTAAAGCAAATTTCATAAAGGTAAATAATTGAGAGTTAAATTATAAAGAAGGGAGAAGGAATAGGGGTAAAAAGTTAATGGGAAAGAAGACAAGAGGAGAATCTCAGCTGTCATGAAGAGCAGTCCCAAGCCTTAAATCAGTGATTCCAAGTCAGGAAGGATTTTGCCCCCCCAGGGGACATTTGGCAATGTCTGGGGACATTACTGATTATCACAACTAAGGGACTGCCACCAGCATTTAGTGGGCAGAGGCCAGAGATGCTGCTAAACATCTCACAAAGTACGGGACAGCCTCCATATCAAAGAATTATCAAATCCAAAATGTCAGTTGTGCTGATGTTGAGAAATCATAGTCTAAATAAACACATACAGTTTTTTAAAAGAAAGTAAATTGATAGAAAGAAATGAAGATGTTTTTAAAGGAGATCAACAATCAAATCAAATTTTGTCTGATAAGTTATTTTTCCTGACAGTTAAATATTTTTATTAATGTAGACATTGTTTCATGCTATTAAATAAGCTGCCATCCAGTAAAATTTTTATATGAAAGAAAACAATGTCTTGACTCCAAACTTTGTTTTATTTTTTCCAAAAGTAACAGATTTTATCTGATTTTCAGTATGCCATTTCCCAGGATTGCTGAACAAATAAGAAATCAAAATTTGAAATCTTGATCTGTTTATTATTTATATAGCATTGTTACTGTAGATTTCTTGAGTGAGCTTCTAAGTTCAAAATATGGAAATCAGAAGATGCCGGCCAGATATTTTCATTGTTGATTATATAAACACAGTAAATATTAAAGGATTTATTAGGAAATTGCTATGGTTTGAGGGTTTGTCCCTTCTAGAGCTCATGTTGGAACTTAATCTCTAATATGGTATTTGAAAGGTGGGGATTTTAAGAGGTAATTGGATCATGAGGACCATTTTGAATTAATGGGTTAATGGTTGAATGGGTTATCATGAAGTAGACTGGGGGCTTTACAAGGAGAGGAAGGAGGCACAGGGAAGGCACGTGGAAAGGTGCTCTTGCTCACCGCTTGCTATGTGATACTCTGCATCTCTCGCTGTGGGGCTCTGTAGATAATTCTTACCAAACATGCCCTCACCAGATGTGCCCTCAACTTTGGACTTTACAGCCTCCCTAAACTGTAAGAAATAAATTCTATTTTCTTATGAATTATCCAGTTTCAGGTATTCTATTATAAGCAACAGAAAAACTAATACAGAAATAACTTTATTTTTGATTAATAAAAATTTAATTTGATTTAATTATTTATTTAGTTTGTTTCCAAGTTTTATCAATCCATATTAAGTGGATATTTGTCATCCCATATTACTGAGCAAAAAAGGTAATCTCAGCTGGAGGAGGCGTCATTTTGCTTTAGAAAAGGGAAGTATGCGAAGAGCTCAGTGCCTTGAACTCTGGCTGACACTACTCACACCTTCACTCATATGTAAATGCAGGTCATAAGTTCATAAATGTGCACTCTAAATATTTCTAAGTATCTGCTCTTGTATTCCCATAAAGCATAGTATACTTCTTGCTGTTTAAATAAAAGAGGTATATGCTATTACAGTTTCATCATCTTAGCTATAAATAAAACAAATGATCTGTTAACTGCTTGCTTAGTTATATTCAACAGAACTATTATTCTGCTTCTTTTCATTTACAAAATGCTGTTTAATGTACTGGCATCGCAACTGCTGACTCATCAGAAAAGACATGCCAGCATTATGCCAGCAGTTTAGAAACATTTGCTGTTTAAAACAAAATGAGTTTCTCCAAATTTTTGAAAATGCATTTAGACAGCAAAATATGCCAAGATTATCCCTGGAAATATCTAACCATTACCCTCACACTCTTGACTTACACCTTTCCATGTGAACATTATTAATATCATCTCATCCCATAACAGAAGCAGCTTAAATATTTTTTAACTCATAAAGAAAAAAAAAATTGAAGTCTTTAGTCATTTCAAAAAGTAAATTTTATATTGTTGAGTCATTTGATTAGAGGT